AAAAAGTGTTGTTTATAATTATAAAAATAATTTTTGTTATATTTCCCACCATTTTCATTGTTTATATACACACTTATAAACTCGCAATGCCCTCTAAGTCTTAAGAAACAAAAGAAAGAACACAAATAACCTTGAAGAAATATTAAATATATCCGCTTCGTAGGTTAATGTTTTCCCACAAAGAAAGAAGTAACAAACAAAAAAATGGGAGGAAAAGAAAAAAATAAAATACAAGTTTTAAAATAATTTATGTGAACATCACACACACATAATAGTTAATTACAGTTTATGCTTCCCAAAAAAAGCAATTACAAAATTAAAGCAAAAGTTTCCTCAAAATAAAAAATGACAATTTTCATGATAGACAATTTTGAGATCAACGTACATTTTACCCCCAAAATATAAAACAACATTTTCAAGAGAAAACTAAATTTCAACATCCATATGGTATTACGTGTCATATTTTTTTTTACAATTGCTAGAGATGAAAGGTCGAAACGGAAATTTCTAAGAGAGGGAGTAAAATTGTACAGAGTCATGTTTTTGTTCCTGTTCTGACACATTCTGTTGTATGGTTATATGTTGCTGCATGTGCATTCTCTTTTATGAGTATCATTCTTAGTTCAGTATCAATGGCGAGAATAGATTTATTGCAATGTTAGACTTTTATTTCTTCTATCGATTTAACAAACCCAACATACTTGTCGTTCTTTCTCTGCTCAACATTTAATACCATCTTTTTTACTACTTCTCTTCTTGTTCTTGTCACTGTTGTTGTCACAAAATGCGGTCAGACAATATTTTTTTTTTGTTAATGTTGTGTTGACGATTTAATTGAAATTTCAAACACACTGCATTCACTCACCAATTCGGAAAGACGACGAAAAAAACATGTGATGGCGGCGGGTGTAGGCTTTCTTGTGATCCACATTTGTTTTATTTATGAGCATTTTGCAAGTAAAAAAAGAACATGTGTATATATTTTCGATATCAAAGAACAGAACAGAATTCGTTTGTTAAATGAATTACCATTTTGCCACTAGCCCTTTTAGATATTTCCCTTCCATACATTTTCCATAATATTGTGAAAAAAATCGTTCGTTTTTAACACACACGTTTCAAGGCAATTAGTCACTTTTCCTTTCTATTTTTTTTTTTTCGTTTCTTCTTCTGCCTGTGTTTGTAGCATCCTAACATTATAGCGTGAATAATAATATATATTTATGATTGCCAAATTTTTGAATAGTTTTTTTGTTTTCACACACTAGCTTAACAAAAGATTTGGTATTAGACACTAGTCTACAGCTAATAATATATATTTTTTGTAAATATTACAAAATTATTTGCCGAAAACTTAACAATTTTAAGTTAATGAAGATCACAAAGTATTATTTTCTCAGTTGGCATCCATATAATTGTTCCGCGCGATTTTAGATATTTTAAAGGATTTTTTTACCGAAAGGGTGTAACTGAATATTTGGAATAGAAAAACTAGACAACGGAACATTGAATATTCTTTTATTGAAATGATCACAAATTTGCTTACTCTAAACAATTTTTTTAATATATATGCCCCTGTACATATTTTAGTATAGTGTTTATATCAAACACGTTGAGGAACCTTGTATGGGACATGCAAAATGTTGACCAATTCTTTATCAACATGTTTGTTAGAAAATGTGATTTCATGTTATTCTTATTTCGCACCCCCATCCAATGTTGTTGCAAACATTTGATAGCTATTTATGCACATTTACTTCATTCTACTGATAATGGATTTGGCTAAGTATTCAGAGCAGTTGCAATAACAACAAATAAATTAGATTTTTTTCATTTCCTTCCTTATGTTTCTCCGAAAGAGTTTTCCTGAAATTTATTAATTTTTTAACATGTTTTATTTTATTTCATATTTTTTTAGCAGCTGTGTTATTGTTGTTATGTGTTCTTCTCTAAAAAAATCATCATCACCACCATCAACAACAGCAACAACATCATCATTAATATGCGATGACATCATTTGCTTTTATTTTTAATATTTGTTACGTTGCCTGTCGTCGACGTTTTGCTTTGACTGTTTGTCGTTGTTCTGGTTTTTTTTATTTTATTTTGACTTGTTGTCTGACTGTCTGTATTCGTTATATTGTTATACTTATACAAAGGTACAACAGAATAGTACCTACGCACCAACAAATATATTTAAATATTTTATTCGTATTCGTTTGCCTTTGCTTTAAGTTCCACTTTTAATACATTGCTTTTTGTCTTTTGCTGTTTGTTATTGTTTTTTTTTTTTTTTTTTTTTTTTTTTTTTTGTATTTTTTATGACAATAAATTTTGTTGTTGATATGTCTTTCCATAAATTTATCATTGATATTACCCTTGGTTGTCGTCTAAAGATATTAACTTAATTTTTAAAATTTTATATACGGCTAGAATTTGAAGAATTTATTGTACAAAATTCATGCTATTTTCTGGAGTTCTTAAAGGGATTATTGTTATTATTATTTTTTTTAATGTTTAACCGTTAAAATATTAGTATTTTCTACCCAGTGTAAACATTTTTATTATTTTATTCTGCTATAAGCAATTTATCTATAACATTAGACTTCTACCATTGCTCATCAATATTTTCGTGACTGTTTTTGGCACAATACATTTCTTTAATTACCTTTTATTTGACCAAATTTTGCATGCAACTCTTTCCACAAATTCATTTGTTCTTTTCAAGTAGAAATAATATGAGGAATGTAACATTTGTGGTCATGAGAAACAATTTATTTTATTTATTTTTTTTTTTTTGTAACATTGTGACACCACCGGTAGCAAGACATCCCGCTGTGGAATCTATCTCAAAAATACATTATTACAATTTTTTTAATGATATCATGTTTTTATATTCAATATCAATTGTTAATTCCCAATCAACTTCATCTTAGAAATGTTTAATTAGATAGCAGAATTTTATGATTCCTTATTTTTTTTAATTAACCATTTTATTTTTATGGCATATTTCTTATTATCTTGTTGGTTGCTAATGTTTTATTGTTATTGTGATTTTCATTAAAAAAAAAAAAATAAAACAATGTTATATACAAATAATAATTTCATGGGAAAATATAATCAATTTCATGTTTAATGCAACAACAACAACTCTCGAACAATGAGTGAGTTTTGCCTTTGATGACCTCATCGATTCAAAAACCTGTACGGTCTGCTGGTCTGGTAAATAGTAAAATGTAATTTCTTGTACTGATAGTAAACTTTCAATTGTTCGCCATTGCCTTTCTTCTTCTACTTAACAACAAAGAACTTTTCGATTGATGTCGTCTGGTGTTTCTTGCTTTCTTTGTTAAAATAATTAAAGGCAAGATATCTTTTATTAGGAAAGGAATATATTTTTAGGCATTTTTTCCTTTTCAGGGACGCAATGGTGCACATATTGTTGCTCTAAAATTCGATTTATGGAAAATTGCGCGAAAAAATGTTACTCTTTAGTCCACAATGCAGGAGAATGCAAGGAATTGCTATTTCATCTTCTTAACTCACTGTGTAAAAGACCAAAATTATCTTAGAAAAAACATTTTGCCAGATTTCTAGATGTTTGCCTGCTTTCATATCGCAAACAATTGAAGCTTTAGTAATTGAAAAAAAATCAGAAAAAACATTCATCATTAGTCTTGAAAAATGCCGGTTTTTTTGCTGTTCTCTGAGTATGTGTGTGTGTGATTTTTTTTTACTTTTTATTGCCTGTACTCCATTCACTCATTAACTATTGGCATTTGCTTAGATCTTGGGTCTTTCGTCTTATCAACACGTTTTTGTTTTTTTAATTAACATTTTTTTTATAAATAGAGCCCTGAGCAAAAAATGAAGTCACTTCTCAGAAATTAAGTTAGCCACCACAAAAAAAGCAAATGAAAAACAATTTACTGAAGTGCAAGTTCAAAATTGTTTGCATACGTCTTTAAATAGTATCACGTCATTTTTTGTTTTTTTTTTTTTTTTTTTTTTTTTTTGCAGCAGATTTACTTGGGATAGAAATAAGGCGCCAAAAATAAAACTGCAGTAAATGAAACTTAGATTCAAATTTAACTTCAAATTTAATTGGAAATTAGCTTCATATTTTTTAAATATATTAGCCTTTTCTCATAGTTTATTAGCCTCGTTCTCATAGTTGTTATCTCGGCCTAAATTCCTTACATCGCAAGATGTTTACCCAAGAATTATTTTGTTTATATGTTTAGCTAATTTTTGTTTTTATTCAGACATTCACTTATGGCATACCCTGTTTGTAATTAAGATGAATATGTCATACAGTAAAACGTCCCCCGTCCCTCCCCTTTTTGGTTTATGTGATGTGGTTTATTTATAGTGAAAATATCCTATTTTCAATAGACTATTTCTAAAGCCAACTTATTGATCACGACGACAGCAGGTTTAGTCATAAAGTTTTAGTCTCAGTAATGAGACTATAATCGACATTCTAGCGGGCCTATTTTAAATAAACATAAACACACATTCTACGCAAACTAAATTCCCAACTACCTCAATTCCGTAAAATAAAACCCCGATTTCAAATATTTGAATTTGTAGATTTTTTATGTGATTTGCCATCGATATGGCAATAATTAACATTAGATTAATATGATTTTATAAGAAAATCATCACCTGCGAGTAACGCTTAAAATACTGGTTAAGCTAAGCTGCACAAAAAAAAATTCCTAGAAAAGCACAAAACGCCTCGAAAGAAATAAAAAACAAAAAATATTGAAAAATAAAACGTAACAAAGCCCAACACTTTTGGTATTTTAACAGTGTTTGCTAATCAAATGGCAGAAGAACGTGAATATGATTTTGCATTTGAATTTCAGGTAAACGTGCATTTTATTTTTCGAACATTGCAAACACCAACCATCAACTTGCATTTCATAACTTGTCGTCGTCGTATTTTTTCGTTAACTCATTCAATTTTCGATTTTTTTTTTCGTTTTCATTTATAGCAATACGCTGAAAGTTTGCAGAAACCACTGAAAACCTTCCGCGTAGATTTCAGCGCCAACAACGTACCGACTGGCGAAGGCTACGTTGCACGCGATGAAGATCTTTTTACGACAACATACAGCACAACACAGTAAGTGAATTTGTTTTACGATATCGATGTATGTACACATGTGAGAAACGAAAGCAACTTACACATTTTTTCACATTTCAGATTTAGCACAACAAAGACCACAAAGAGTGTTTATGACGCTACCGACTATGTACACACAACGACAACTACCACGAATGGAGCTGCTGCTGGTGGTGGTTGCATTCCCGGCACCTCGAAACAGTCGCAAATACAGTTCAACGAAATTCACAGCCTGAAAAGAGTTCAGACAAGAAACGAAAATGTTGGAACTGGCGGCGATACAGGTATCAAACATTTGTTGGATATTACTGGTATTAGAGATCCCCGAACCGGGCGTGTGCTAACAATCGGGGATGCCATACAAATGCGCCTGCTTGATGTGCGCACTGGGGAAATGCTTATTGGCGACAAGCGCATTTCTCTGGAGGAAGCTGTTAAACAGGGTCTGATCGATGCCAAGTTGGCACATCAGCTACTACAGCCTGGAGCTGCACGCGATGGCAGTGGCCGTGAACTGTCACTTTTGGAAGTGATTCAGCGTGAAATATTCGAAGCCGAGTCGGGCTATGAAACGGCCGAGAAGCGTATAAAGGTAACTGTCGACGATTCTCCCGAAGCTGAAAATCCCAAAAATATTGCCGATGCCATTTCTGCTGGAAATGTTGATACAAAAACGGGCCTGTACAGAGTAAAATCGGGCAAAACTATAACCTTAGCTGAGGCCTATGAACGTGGCTACCTCATACGACATGAATCAGTTACTATAAAATCGAATGCCTTGTGTCTGAGTGATGCCATTGCCCATGGCTTAGTGGATACTGCTGGCTGGATTGCTGATCGTAATTCCGGTGATAAATTTAGACTTGACTCGGCAATTGCAAATCAACTAATTGATCCTAATGTACGCGAAGTTGTAGATGCCAAAAAAGATACAAAGATTACACTAACCGAAGCTCTTAAAGCGGGTATATTAAATCCAAAAACCGGTCGTTATTGGAACGAAGTTACCAAAGAGAAACTGACATTTATCGAGGCCAAAAATCGACAACTCATCGTTAAGCCCTACACCCTAAAGGATATTTGTGACTTGAATCTGTTAGACAAACAATCGAAGATCACAAGTCCCATGCGACGTGAAAAGCTAAGTATAATGCAGGCCATAGAATCGGGGGTATTAGATGGCAATAATTTGAAGTGTATAACGAAGCGTAAAGGTGAACTGGTAACACTGCAGGAGGCCATAGCCGATGGTATTGTCTTGCCAGCCGAATCCAAGTATAGGGACTTCATGACTGGCGAGATTCTTTCAATACCCGAGGCTGTAGAACGCGGCCTCATCAGCAGCGTTGCTCAAAAGTCCATCTTCGATATCGATGGTTTCAAAGATATGCGCAGTAACGATTTTGTTAGTTTCAACGTAGCCTTATCTCGGGGCATTCTACGTAGAAAGAGTACTGGATTTGCCCTAGAAACTAGTCGTGATTCACACGTGCCTTTAGAAGTAGCCATGAAGGAGGGACTCATTCGTCCCGAGGTATATGAAATGTTTAGCAAGGGTATTGGTGTACACAATGCCAGTGGCAAGGAATTGAGTGTATTTGATTTGTGTTATCATAATTTAATTGACCCCAAGACAGGTTATCTCCTAGATCCCAAGACTGAAGAGACTGTTCCCCTTGACTTAGCCATCGAACGTAAATTCATAACTCCAGAGGGTGCTCTGTTACTGAGCAGTCTCTTGAACATAACCCTGACAACAGAAACGGTAACTAGAACTATCAATCGTTATGTTACAATACGTGCAGGCTCTCAGGAGCCACAAGAGCACCATGTGGTTCTTACGTTTACCGAAGCTGTTCGCCAAGGTTTCATAGACGAGGAAAGACAGTTGTTTAAAGACCCGAAGACAGGTAAAATTTATTCGGTGCAACAAGCCCTCAACTTTGGTCTTTTGCAGCCGGATGCAAATGACACGGTTCCCGAACCAACGAATCGCAAAAAGACCAAATCGACCATAACAATTGTAACGAAGCAAATAGTGCCTGAATCGGAACCCATAAAGCTGAATACTCAAAATTATGTAGAGAAGTCGGTGGAAATTCCCATAGCCGAGGAAGTAATCAAGTCCGGCAAAATCAATACGGATTTCATCCACAGCGAGAAAACAACATATATCGAACATAACGTACAAGAAAGGCAAATTATCGAATTGCCACCCGGCGGTTGGCCACTAAAAGACGCAATCGAACAACAGTTTTTCAATCCTGACAGCGGCGTATTTCAAGTCAAAGGTACGGAACGTGTGGTCACCTTTGAAGAGTGCATTAATAAGTATATAATCAATAGTTTGTCAGTGTCGGTCATAGATCCCACAACAGGTGACAAGCTGTCACCACGCAATGCATTCGAAAGGGACATAATAGACTCGTATGGTAGCTATACCAACAAGAACGGTGAAGTTGAAACGATGCGATCGGCCATTAACGAAGGCAAAATAATTTTGGAACCCGTGCCAATAACAAAAACCACGGCCAGAGAACAATGTATACTGCGCATTAGTAAGCTAAATAATTTAGCCGAAATCATTGAGATATCCACACCACTATCATCGGATGCTTCACCGAAATTCGTGGAAGTGCACACTGTACAAAGGGAATTGACTTCTCCGGAGCCTCTGCAAATTGCACCAGGCGCCATTTATGATCCATCCACAGCATTGGTTATATTCACACATAACGGACAGACTGAAAATATTTTCGACGCCGCTCGACATGGATTGATAGACGAAAGTCTCATTAGAATTGTTGATCCTCAAACTGGTGAATCTATTACAATAAATGAAGCTGTGTCTCGCAAAATCTACGATCCGCAAAATGCGACAATTGTAACACAAGAAGGGTATCCCGTAGATATTCTTACTGCAATCCAGAAGGGTCTAATAATTGTATCTGGAGCTCCCTTGGTAGCAGCCGAAGGTGCATTACGCACAATTCGCTTTGTGACCGACCCGCGAACTGGAGAACAAATTCCTGTCGAAGTAGCGTACGAGCGGGGTATTGTGTCCCGAGATCAATTAAAGAAATCAAAATCATTTGAGAGCGACACATGTGAAGATAAGGTGGTGGTTTTGCAAAAGATGCGCAAAATTATCCTAAAGCCCAGTGATGCTCTCAAAAAGGGTATCATAGACGAAGAAACCTGCGATATACTGGAGAATAAACAAAACTTCTTGGGAGAAAATAATGAAGTACTAAATATTACGGAGGCGCTAGAACGAGGTCTAATCGATGGCAAGCGAGGCAAAATTGCCGATCCACAGCGTAATCGTTATTTGAATATTAATGAAGCTGTCCGGGAACGCATTCTAGATCCCGAACAAACCAACCACATTCTTATACCTTTGGCTCAGTCGCTGTCAGTTCCCCGATTAATGGAACAAGGTTTGATTGATAGTCAAAGCCAAACCATTATTCACCCAGAAAGCGGTTATGGATTAAATATTCGCGAGGCTATTGTGTGTGACGTCTTGGATCCATACTCGAAAATTAAACTCCCCATTCACTGTACTCTAGAGGAAGCCATTGAGAAACATATTGTAGACCCAGAAGAGTCCACATTCAAGGTGAATGGAAAGGTGCTAACATTGTCTCAAGCCCTAACGGCTGACATATTTGATAAGACGTACGATACTGAGAGTACTGTAATAACAATTCCTCCCGTTGGTATGACATTCCCAGTAGTTGTTGAAAAGGGATTACTAAAACCTGAAAAGGTATCGGTTGTGCATCCTGAAAATAGAAAAGAAATACCTTTGCAGAAGGCAATTGAAGAAGGATTTATAATGTCCATACCATATCCACCACAAGCCGATGCCTTAGACGTTCACCATGCCGTACAACAAGGACTAATAAACGTGGTAGATCAAACATTTAAACATCCCAAGGACGTTGGTCCATCAATGCCTATTCGCCAAGCCTTGGAAAATGGACGTTTAGTTGTTAAACCCATGAGCGATTTTGTTGTTACACAAAAACCAGTGCCCCGAACAGAGGTCATGGAAACAATCACAGCTGTACATACAGTAACCACCAAGACTATTGAGCTCATCCAGGGTTATGTCCTAATCTCGAACAACGAAGTTCAAAATGTACAAACAGGTGAAGTTTGCACTGTCGAAGAAGCAAAGGCTATGGGTATTTTAAGGGAGGAGGAAACATCCAAGGAAACTCGTTCCGTAACAGGTAATAAGGAACATATTGATGATATACAGCCACAGCAGCCCATTGCGCAGCCACAAACGACAACACCCACACCAACCGATGGAAGCCAACGCCAAATAATACAAACATCAGTTATCACAACCGAAATTCAAACACCAATGGAGACATGCGACTCGACAACGACGAGTCAACAAGTTCCCACAAAGGATAATAAGCTGGCATCAGCATTGAACACTGCTAAAGAGGCAGCAAAAATGGGTGCCATAGGTATTGTGGCTGCCCCAGTTTTGGCTGGCAGTGCCGTTGTTAGTGGAATCAAACAATTGGTAAAATCAGCAACTACACCCACTGAAGAACCAAAACCAACATTAAGTACCTCGATTGGAATTGGTGAAACATTGCCAGCGAAAACTCAACCTCAATTATCTGTGAATGTGTCGAACGTGGAAACGTATCCTGATGTACTAACCACCACATCCACAACTACCACCACAACAAAAACTACTACAATTGTGACAAAAACCGATGAACCTCAACATCAGACAATTGAAACTCACAGTGTGGTTGTGAAACCTGATGGCGATTCCCATCCAACTAGTGAAACTGAAAATGTTGCATTGCCTAAAGATGTGCCACCTAAAAATACAGAACCTCAAGTTCTTGATAATTTGGTGAAGTCTAAAGATGAAGCCCAGAAAAAGAATGGACCTCAAGGCGTTGACTTTGTCGATAATCTTGTCAGGGAAACAGAGGATTTCATTAGTACAACGACAGCTAATTTTATTAAACAAGAAAAGACAGCTGATGCACAGCCAACAACTCCGCCCCAAGATCCGGAGAGTACCAAACAGCCACAAAATGTAAATACGGAAATTACAACGACAAAGGTAACTGCAGCTACAACCGTCCCTCGGGAAACACAACCTACCATCGAAACAGTACCGAATGTTAGCATAGACAGTGCAAATAAAAATAAACTTCCATCGCAGGTGGTTATAACGACTGAAACGACTACAAAGACAACAGATCCTATAAATGAAATTATGGAGGTAACTGAAGTAGGTGATCAACCTCAATATGTTGTTAGCTTTGAGGATTCAGATACTGAAGTTTCCACAACTACTGCTGCTACAGCAACAACAACAGTTACTTCAACTTCTACTTCGACACTTGTTACAACCAAAACATTGGGAGATATCACGGAAACAGAGGAACCAACTCCACAAACCCCCAATGCACTCAACAATATCAAGGAAAGCCAACCCGTTACAGAGGACAAACAATCTGAAAAATATAGTGTAATCACAGATTTCATGAAACATGAAATGAACGAAAGTGCTAAACCCAAGGTAATTGAATCATCGTCACCAGCTGGCCAAGTCCAGTCGAGCCATGTGTCGAATGACAGTAACGTTAAACAAACAGAGCCTGAATACTTGAATCAGACTACAACGGAAATAACTACAACAATTGAATCAGAATCTAAACCAATGGTTGATAATGTAGAAAATAGTTGCAAAGCCCCCAAAACTGATGAATTGTCATTGGTAAAGGAAAGTCAAATTGAATTTTCTAAAGAACCAAGTGGTGAAATAATCGAAGCAGCTGATGCAACGGTTGCACCCATACCTGCCGAAAGGAAAACAATTGACAAAGTGACCACAGACTTAAGCGAACCACATAGTATAGTCGCAGACCAACAAGTGAAGCACCAAAACATGGTTGATTTCATTCAAGCCGAAAAGGGCAATCAAGTTCAACCCAATGAATCGAGCAGTAATATTTTGCAAAATGTCAAAGATGTTGCCAAACTTGGAGCCCTTGCTATAGTTGGCGCTCCCGTTTTGGCTGGAAAAGCTATTGTCGATGCCCTTAAACAGGACGAGAAGCCAAAAGATTCCACTACAAATGCAACGTTAAATACCTCGATAATAACTACAAAACCTATAAAGGTAATGCAGGGTGGAGAAACTCCAGGTGAAAATCAAACACACAGAGGTGTAACACCACCCAAAACATTAGCCTTGGGTGATGCTATTTCACAAAAACTTATATCACCCGATGAATGTAAGGTTTTAGTAGGCGGGGAGGAGCAAGATCAAAGTGTAACCGAACTCTTGAAAGACGAACAACTAAGTCCGCTGGACGAAGTACAGGTATTAGATGACAAACTGGTCGTTTTACAACCCATGACCTACCTTATTGACGCCAACGATGACTTAACTCCAGAACACTTGAGCGAATTGAATATATACGACCCCGTAAATCAATACTTCACAGATCCCTCCACCGGTTTGAAGATTTCATTCCAGACATTAGTGTTCGACATGAATGTCTTTAATCCGGAGACAATACTAGTGAAGAATTTCAGCAGTGGTAAATACGAAACATTAACCGATGCTCTGGAACGACCACTACTTGACAGACACACTGGTCATATGGTCGATCCAAAGACTGGTAAAAAGATTCCATTCTTCGAATGTGTTTCCCGCAATTGGATTATTCGTGCCAATCCTGAAAAGGAGAAACCAGCAGCTATTGAAAATGTCATTGACCCCGAAAGTGGCAAAGTTATACTGGGCGATGGTCGAGTTTGTTCCATTGTTGACGCCATCAACAATGGTATGCTGGATATCCAATCGATATCTGTTCGTGATCCCGTTAGCGGTGAGGTGATTCCACTGCGTATGGCAATTGAGTTGGGAGTTGTGGACATGCAGGCTGGTACGGTAATTGACATTCAGACATTGAAAGAAATTCCCATGGAAGATGCTTTTAAACTCGGTTTTCTTGTGCCCGGTTCGCGCAAGCCCATTTCATTGGAGGCTGCAGTGCGCAAAGGACTTTATGATCCCGACACGGGAAAACTCTACGACTCCGAATCCGACAATCAAGTTGATGTTCAGAAATCCATTGAAATTGGTCTGGTTGATCCGAAAATATCTCTGATCGTTGATGCCAAATCGCAGAAGGCAATTAAATTGGACTGCGCCATTGAAGATGAACTGGTTGTAACGGAGACAGGCCAAATTAAGGACACCGAAACCAATACATTGGTTCCATTCGATGTTGGCTTAAAGAAAAATTTGGTAAAAACCGATAGCATTACGTGGAGCTTACCTGAGGTATTGCAACGTGAATATTACTCTCCGAAGACGGGTAAAATTTTGAATCCTTCCACCGGTGAAGAAATTCTCCTACAACAAGCCATAGAATTGGGTTTCGTTGAGTTAGATTCATGTCTGGTTAAGGATGATGACAAGAATGTCATTGTTCCGGGCAAACAAGCCGCCAAGGAAGGTCTACTTGACACTGTCAGAGGCTGTCTCAGCAGTCCCAATATCAAGTTGGACGAAGCTTTTGTCAAGGGCTATTTAATTAGCACAAAGAAACCGCTGTCTCTAGTCGATTGTTTGCTAAGAGGTCTGTACGATTCCGAAACAGCTAAGTTTACAATCGACAATAAGAAGGTTGATTTGAAATCTGCTATTGCCTTGAAATTGATAAATTCCGATGAACTGGTGCTACTCGATCCCAAAACAGAGTCGATCATTTCGCTTACCGAAGCTATTTCGAAGGGTTACATTGATCCGATCAATGGATTCGTTATTAACCCATACACCGGCACCAAACTGTCGCTGAATGAGGCACTTGAAAACCGAGTACTGATTCCACCGAAACGTAAACGCAGTCTTCCCGATGCTGTGTACCGTGGCCTGTATGACCCCAAGACTGGTGAATTCAGCAACACCATAACCCGTGAAAAACTCTCAACTGAACGTGCTATTCGCAGAGGCATTTTAGATCCGGACTCGACCATTGTCAGTGTAGCTGGCGAAGTCATTCCATTCGAGAAAGCTGCTCAGGTTGGCATCGTGGATAGTCACAGAGGCACGGTAAAAGATGACGACGACAAGGAAATCGACTTCAAAGAAGCCTTTGATCGCGGTGTGCTGCTCGAAGCAAAGAAACCTTTGCGTCTTATCGAGGCGGTCATTAAAAATGTGTACGACGAAGCTGATGGCAGCTTTATGGATCCCAAGACGGGACAAAAACTCTCATTTGCCCAAGCGGTTGATAGTAATCTTCTCGATGAGGACAGTGTTCAAATAAGAGACTTCAATACCGGCCTGTACAAGCAATTGAACTTGGCCCACGCCGCCGATACCGGTGTCATTGATGGCAACAACGCCAAATTGGTCTACAACAATCAAAAGATTACCATTAAACATGCTTTTGATGTTGGCATCCTAATGGATACCCAGGCTCCAATTAGTTTACAAAGAGCCTTACATCAAGGGCTTTTCGACGAAAAGTCCGGCAAGTTGATCGACCCCAAGAGTGGACGCAAAATTACTTTACTCGAGAGCATTCGCAGCTTTGTCATCAACCCACAATTGCCCTGCTATTTCAATGAAATTCAAGAACAAATGCACAGCTTGACAGATACCTGTCGCATGGGCATCATAAATCGACGCGAGGGGGTTTTCCGTGAGCCGGGCAGTAATACATTTGTCTCATTAAACGAAGCTTTGAATTTAGGTCTAATAGTCGACATTGAAAATGCCAGCTTTGGTCTGTATGAACTGCTAGCGATGGGTTTCTACGATAAGAGTACAGGAAAGGTTTTACATCCGGTTACCGGACGAAAATTGAATTTGAATGAAGCCTGCGTAGAAGATGTAGTTAGTTTATCATCTAGTCTAGTAAAGAATGTTAAAACAGGAAAGTATGTTCGTTTGGCACAGGCCATCAAGGAACAAATTATTGACGACACAAACGGTAGCTACAACCTCAGCGCCATTGAACAAATAGATTTACAGGAGGCCCGTGCTCGTGGTCTCATTGTTTCAAACCGCCGTCTGCTTTGCTTAGAACTAGTTATGCGCATGCAATTGTTTAGACCAGAAACTGGTAAATTCTGCGATCCCACCACTGGTGAATATTACGATTTAGCCGATGCCATACAAAATGGTTTCATAGATCCCGCAACAACTGTTTTCAAGAATCACGTGACTGGCAAAGAAACTCCACTTAATGAGGCCATTGCCAATGGCGATGTTGACGTAGCCAAGGGTCGCGTCTTTGATCCCAAATCTAAATCAGCTTACAATTATGACGTAGCATTAGCTCGTGGAATTTTAGTTACAGTTGCGAAACCGTTGACTGAACGAACTACTGACGTAGTTAAGGAGAGTGTAGAATTGTTGGGCCAAACGCCGGTGAGCATTGTCGTTAGTAAGCCACGTGAAATGTCATTAGAGGAAGCCATCAAGTATAATATAATCGATCCAAAAACGGCCTTGGTTCGCGATTTTGACACATTTAAATTTGTACCTTTCGAAGTTGCACAACAGAAAGGTATTGTCGATTTGAACAAACGTACTTTAGTAGATCCAAAAGCTTTGTACTTTGTATTTGATCCCACTTTGGTGATATATGTAAGAGAACCTATACAATTTGAGCATGCTGCCGAAGTTAAATGTCTCGATTTGGAAACCGGTATGTTAACATACCACGATCCAGCCACCAAAACGCTACAAACACCTGACAACGATGTGGATGTGAATAGTGAGGGAACAAATGACACGGAATCTGTAATATATACTCTTAAAGATGCTACCACATTGGGCATAATTGATCCTGATTCAGCATTGGTCAAGGATTTGGTGAAATCCAAATTGGTACGATTGCCAGAGGCATTCCGCAAGGGACTAATGGATGCCAACAAGGCAAATGTTTTGAATACAAAAACATCAAAACTGTGCACTCTGAAAGAAGCCTATGAAAGTGGATTGATTGTTACCCCGAAACGTTCATTTGGCTTACTGGAAGCCATAGCTTTTAATCTATACAATCCCACTAATGGATGCTTCGTTGATCCCTTCCAAATGAATCCGGATATTATAAAACGTAAAAAATTCACTTTGGCCGAGGCAATAACAGCTGGCCTCATTGATCCTTCGTCGACAGTGGTAAGAAATCCATCAACCGGTGAAATAATACCATTAACAGGGGCCATACAAAATGGTCTAATTGACGCCCATGATGGACGTATATGTGATCCAGCCGATAGTAAAAATAATATGGATTTGGTGAAGGCATCCGAAAAAGGTTTTCTGTTGGCCGCTGAGCAAAGGGTAAGTTTTGAGTTGGGCTTTCTTGCTCTCAGTCCCCCGTTCTCTCTCTCACTCTCTAAGCAATGTCCACCATGCTCCCAAAAACAAATGCTTTCTGTCTTTATGCTATTTTTACTACGTGTATGCTCAGTATATACATATATTTTTTATTATTTTCATTTTCTTCATAAACCTACAAAAGTCGAAATTTTCTAAATGTATTCAGCTTGTATTTGATATTGTTATTTATTTTTGGCATGTTTACTGTTATTTCTATTTCTTTTTTTCTCGATGTTTATTTCTCCCTTTCAATCTTTTTTGTTTTTTATTTATTATATCTACTACTGAATATTAATCAATTATTAATTGGCTCATTCAAAAAAAGATCCTATGTTTTAATGGAAACTACAAAATTATTTTGGAATATTTCCCCTATCACTTCATGATTTTCTTGATTTGTATCATTTCCTACCTTACCAACTGATGTCAGAGCATGGTGTTCTTAAAATGTGTTTCTCTGCATTTCTTCTTTTTTTTAATTAAGATGAAACCAATATCACACAAATCAGTCAAACAATCACTACTACATCAGCGTCCGTATAGCAATCAGAATCACATGCATCAGACCTACTCTATATACTTTACACAAATTTGATCACATCATTGTCATATGCCTCCTTGGATGCTGTGCGTATCATACATTCTCCAACATAAATGTCGTCGGCAAAGATGAACAAAACCAAACCAATTATATATACGGGAACATTTTGTGTCGTTTTTTATTTGATCGAATAAAAATACACAAAGTGTGTCTATTTCTGGTTCTACATACATACAACATGCATATACGAATAGTATATAAACAAAAAGTAATATAAAACCACACATATTTATTGTAACCAGGCCAGGTATTTTCTCATATTTCCCCCTCAACATTCCCTTTCTTGAACTAAGATATCTTTTGGTCCCGATGTGAGAAGACATAATCTCTCTTTGAAAACAAATAAGTCTCCTCTTCCTCTATATGGTCCCCTGGCATGTGAAATGGAATTTGCTATAACACTATCCTGGAATATCCCACTTTCTTCTTGAAAGAAGAAGATCTTCATACTAGCATTGTTTTGGTATATTTAGATTTAGACCACCCCACCCCCATAAGTTTTCTACTTCTTCATCTTTTTCAATACAGTTTTCCATATTCTATTTTTGGTTAAGAAATATCCTAGCATAAGTATATTCATCATTTATATTGATTTTTTATATCTATTCTCTATATAATTTCATTCAAATTGATTTTCTAATTTTTCAGATTTTATTTTCCAGTTTCAAATATTTGTTGTTCTCTTTATTATTTTGTAATTTAAGTGCTTAATAATAACTCCAACCGAGCTAACCAAGCAACTTCTAACTTAACAAATCCAAAACAAAAAATGGTAGTTTGGTGTCTTAACCTCATAGCATAAATGTAGTTAGTAAAATGACGTAAAGTAGTTGTAGTTATTATATTTAATGGTTTTGTTGTAGTTGATAGTCTAAATGTATATTTCATATATTGCTGTTATTATTGTGGTGATTTACTCAATGTTTTTTTTTTATTTTATTTTGTGTTAAATGCTTTATATTTTACTTTGGCAATGAAGGCCTGTGCTTAGCATATCCAATGGGAGAAGATAAATGCTTTTGTACATACATACATTTTGGCTTAAACGCGCTTCATACTCCGCATTTCTTTTATATACAAATATATTACATACATATATATTTTGTGTTCAAAAGTTTGCAAATTATATTTAGGACAATATGTTATTTTATTTATTAGCTATTCTTCCTATTGCATTAAAAAAAAAACACTTTTTTATAATTTTTTCACTCTCTAGGTAATACTGATATTTTATTGAGATTTTACTAATCTATTATTATTATCACACTTTTATACATATATACAGCAAGCCGTATTTGAAAAGTTCAACATTTGCGAAGAGAACGTCAATGAATTGCTCAAATGGGTCTACAACATTGAACACAAAATTGCTACTGTTGGCGGTCCCAGGGAGAAAATCGATGAACTGCGTAATCAAATCAATGCTCTGAAGGTAAATAATTAACACCGCTTATCTCCTTATTCTTCTCTGCTGCAAACTGGTTCACATACCGATATCATAAAATACATAATTATTTTCTTCTTTTCTTGTTAAACAGCAAATTAAGGACGAAATCGAAACCCAACAGCGTCCAGTTGCAACATGCCTTGAACAGATTCGTCAGATTGTGTTAACTGGCGGTGATGTGTTATCTGCACCAGAAGTTACAACACTGGAAAATGCCGGCAGGGAATTGCGTTCCCGTGTGGATCGTGTTAACGATCGCACAGTTCGCCTTTTGCGTCGCCTTGAAGCTGGCCGTGACGAACTCACAAAATTGCGTAGCGAATTGGATATTTTCTCGGAATGGCTACAAACTGCACGCCGCACCTTGGAAGATAAGGAACGTGCATTATCTGATCTGACACGTCTCTCGTCCCAGGCTGAATCTGTAAGAGAATTTGTCAGCGACGTTATTGGCCATCAGGCAGATCTTCGTTTCATTACCATGGCTGCTCAAAAGTTCGTTGACGAAGGCAAAGAATTCTTGGCCATTCTTAATGATTTCAGAACATCGCTGCCTGAACGCTTGCCTCATGTTGAACCTTTGGCAAGTTCTGAAAGTCCCATCCGCCAGGAAGTATCTCTGGTCTCGGCCCAATATAAGGACCTCATGAATCGCGTCAATGCTCTGCAAGATCGTATATCTGGCCTCGGTGGCCGTCAACGAGAATATCAAGATGCCTTAGATAAGGCTAATGAATGGTTGCGAAGCACCCAACCTCGTGTGAGTCGTATTATTGCTGAACCCATTGCTGGTGATCCCAAATCGGTCCAAGAACAAATGAATGAAGCCAAGGCCTTGCACAATGAACTACTCTCAAATGGCCGTCTTGTTGACAATGCTCAACAAGCCCTAGAAAGTTTACTATATACCCTGGGTGGACAACTTAGTCCCATGGAAATAAATCAGTTAGAAGTTCCCATTGCAGATCTCAAGGATAAATATCAAAAGCTCCTCGATTCATTGGGTGAACACTGTAAAACATTGGACAAGACTTTGGTACAGTCTCAGGGTGTACAAGAGGCTCTTGACAATCTGGGCAATTGGGTTAATCAGGCCGAAGATAAATACAAACTTCAGTTGAGACCAGCTTCATTGATTAAGGAACGCCTGCAAGAACAAATAAGAGAACACAAAGCGTTGTTGGCAGACATGCAATCCCACCAGGCCAGTATCGACAGTGTAGAATCGTCCGCCAAGCATCTGATGAGCACGGCTTCCAATGCTCGCATTGCCAAAAAGGTTGAAACAAACCTCAATGACGTAACAAGCAAATTTGAAAAATTGTTCGACAAGGTCGTTAAGCGTGGTGAATTCCTTGACGATGTTTTTAATCGTTTGTGCAAATATTTGGACGAAATCAGTGGAGTCGAACAGGAAATTGTAACGCTGCAAGATGCTCTCGACAGTCGTGACACAAGTCTACTGTCAGCCGAAGAACTGGCACGTCGCATGCAAGAACTTTCCAATCGTAAAGAATCTCTAACTCCGGCCTATGAAGATTGCATTCGCAATGGCAAGGATCTAATCAGTATTCGTGATGTTACGGATACAAGTGCATTGAGAGATCGCATTAAGGCCCTCGAGTCGCAGTGGCGTAACATCAATGTCAGCTTGGACGAAAAAGCAAAATTGTCCAAACAGAAGGCCGAACACCAAGTGGCATACGAGAGCCTTAAAGACCAAGTGTTGTCGTGGTTAGCAAGCACGGAAGCTCGCATAACAGGCCTAGCTCCAGTGGCTGTTGATTTGGAGAAAATACGCCAACAAAATGACGAACTCAAGCCCATTTACAAAGACTATAGAGATTATGCGTCCACCATTGATAAAATCAACGACATCGGTTCGCAGTACGATGCTCTGATCCGCCCTGAAAGTCCTGGACGTAAACGCTCGACATTCAGTCCTATTAAACGCGTCAGTCCTTTGCGCCGCATGTCTGGAGATGCTCGTAGTCCTAGCCCCACGAAGGGGGGTATTCTGTCGCCACTATCGACTGGTTCCAGTGGATTTGGTAGCCGCAGATCCTCTCAAGATGGTTTCCAACTTTCAGAACTATCTCCAGTTCAGCAGCAACTAAGCGAAATCAATAACCGTTACACTCTGATTGGCGTCCGAATCAACGATCGTCAAAACGAGCTCGACAACATGAACGAAGAGGTGCGCAAACAATTTGAAAACCTGAAGAATCTGGCTACCTTCTTGGAGCGCATTCAACGCCAATTGCCCAAGGAGTCTGTGTCGAATAAGGACGAGGCAGATCGTTGCATCAAACAGGCACGCAAAATCCTTGAAGACATGTACGAGAAACAGAGTCTGTTGGACACGACAAAAACCCAAATTAAGGATATATTGAGACGTAAGTCAGACGTTCCTGGTGCTGATCAATTACGCGTAGAAAACGACAACATTGTCGAAAAGTGGAAGCAACTGAGCGACATATGCAAGAATCGTATTAATTTCTCTGAGAAATTACGCGACTTCCTGGACACCCATAACAACTTGAAGAACTGGTTAGACAGCAAAGAACGCATGCTAACTGTGTTGGGTCCAATTTCATCAGATCCTCGTATGGTTCAAAGTCAAGTACAACAAGTTCAAGTACTGCGCGAAGAGTTCCGCACACAACAACCGCAACTCAAGCACTTCCAAGAAATCGGCCACGATGTTCTTGATCATTTAGAAGCAGACTCCCCCGACGCCTCATCTGTCAACAAGAAACTACAGGATGTCAACAGCAAATGGGAAGACTTAGTTGGTCGCCTGGATGAACGTGCAAACAGCCTGGGTGGTGCAGCTGATAGCAGCAAGGAATTCGATGCTGCTGTAAACAGACTTCGTGAAGCCCTTCAGCAAATTAGCGATAATCTTGATGGCCTACCTTCGGATGGAGATCATCAAGAGAATTTGAGAAAGATCGAAAACTTGGAACGTCAACTGGAAGGACAGCGACCACTATTGGCTGACGCGGAACAATCTGCTGCAGCATTGTGTAATATTCTCGGTGACCCAGCATCTCGTGCAGATGTCAATTCTCGCGTTGCTGCTTTAGAGAAACAATATCAGGCCTTGCAAAAGAAACTCGATACCAAGAAAGCCGAAACAGAAGCTACACTCAGAGATGGACGTCACTTTGCCGAAAACTGTTCCAAAACGTTGGGTTGGCTTTCTGCTGAGCTCTCCAATTTGGCCGAACGTTTGCTGGTATCCGCTCATAAGCCGACATTACAACATCAAATTGACACACATGAACCTATCTACCGAGAAGTTATGGCCCGTGAACACGAAGTCATCATGCTCATCAACAAGGGCAAGGATCTTACCGATCGCCAACAAGATCGTAGTGTTAAGCGCGATCTGGAACGCATCCAACAACAGTGGGAGAAACTTCGCCGTGAAGCTGTTGATCGTCACACTCGCCTTCAGACATGCATGGAACACTGCAAGAAATATGTCTCAACATCCGAAGTATTTTTGGCATGGCTAAGAACTGCGGAGGATAAGCTGGTGGATTTGACCCCGGGCGTACTGTCAAAATCCAAATTGGATACACGTTTGCATGATCTGCACACATTCCGCAGTGAGGTGTGGAAACATTCGGGTGAATACGAGAACACTAAAGGATTAGGCGAAACATTCCTAAGCAGCTGTGACGTTGATAAGGAACCCATCAAGAGCGAATTACAAGATATCCGTGAACGCTGGGAACGTCTCAATAATGACTTGATTGCAAGAGCTCAGGAAATTGAGAACTGCTCTCGTCGCCTGGGTGACTTCAATGATGAACTTCGCAATTTAGACCATGCTGTAGGCAGATGCGAAGATCGGCTGGCCGCTCATGATGCGCTCGGTGGAGCTGCCAAAGATCCAAAGCTGTTGGATCGAGTCAAAGCTATACGCGAAGAATTAACGAATTTGCAGAAACCTCTGCAATCGCTCAAGGGAATGGCTAAGGATATTTGCGCCGAAGCTCGTGCTGCCGGTGGAGATGCAGATCATCTGACCGATGATGTCGATGGTATTGCTGACCGCATTGGCGAATTGCAAAGTCGTTTGGATGACCGTTTGGGTGAATTACAATCCGCAGCGACCGCTGTTTCGCAATTTAATGAACAAATAAAGAATTTGGGAATTGATCTGAACGAACTTGAAAACGAAGTTGAGAAACTTTCTCCGCCAGCACGTGAAATAAAACGAGTTCAAGGTCAAATTGACGATACCTACAAACTTCAGACAAAACTTGAACGAATTGTCGAACGGATTGAAGATGGCGAACGAGCTGCTGATGCCTTAGTTGATGCCGGATTCTCACCAGATACTGCTCAGACCCGCGAACAAATATCCACACTGCGCAAGACATTGGCACGCCTGGACAACCGTGTGCGTGATCACAGTCAACTTTTGGAAGACACACTACGCTCCCTACAAGAATTCTATGACATGGAATCGCAAACTATGGACGACATCCAAGATATAAGTGAAGAGTTCCGTCGCATGAAGCCTGTGGGCTCCGAACTTGAACAAATCCGCCGCCAACAGGAAGACTTCCGAAATTTCAGGGACAATAAAATTGACCCATTGGCCCAAAACATCGAGAAAGTTAACATGGCCGGACGCGATTTGGTCAGATCGGCTGCAAGTGGCGTGTCCACCACTCAAATCGAAAAAGATCTTGAGAAGTTGAATGATAGATGGAACGATCTTAAAGAACGTATGAATGAGCGCGACCGACGCCTTGATGTTGCCCTCTTGCAATCAGGCAAGTTCCAAGAAGCTTTGGCCGGTCTCTCCAAATGGCTGTCCGATACGGAAGAGATGGTAGCCAATCAAAAAGCACCAAGCTCTGACTACAAGGTAGTGAAGGCCCAATTACAAGAACAGAAATTCCTCAAGAGAATGCTTCTGGATCGTCAGAATTCCATGTCATCGTTGTCGTCTTTGGGTAAAGAGGTTGCTAATCACTGTGAACCCTCCGAAAGAAACGCTATTGAGAAACAACTGCATGATCTCATGAAGCGCTTTGATGCCTTGACTGACGGTGCCGAACAACGGGAAAAGGATCTGGAGGAAGCAATGGAAGTTGCCAAACGCTTCCACGACAAGATCACGCCATTGGAGTTGTGGTTGGACAACACTGAGCGATCTGTGAAGGGAATGGAACTCATTCCAACAGACGAAGAGAAAATCCAGCAACGTATCCGGGAACACGGCAGACTACATGATGAAATTTTGGGAAAGAAACCCGATTTCTCTGATTTGGCAGATGTAGCTGGCCAGCTAATGCACTTGGTGAGTGACGAAGAAGCAGTAAATTTGGGCGAAAAGGTACGCACCATTACAGACCGCTATACAGGATTGGTGGATGCCAGCGACAAAATCGGTGCCCTATTGGCAGACTCCCGCCAAGACCTTAGACATTTGGTATTGACTTATCAAGAATTGGTGGCTTGGATGGAACGCATGGAGAGCGAATTGAAACGATTCCGATCAGTTCCAGTCTTTGCAGAAAAATTGTTGGAACAAATGGATGTTTTGGTTGAATTGAATGAAAATATTGCCAACCATGCCCCCAATGTTGAATCAACCGTGGACTCCGGAGCCGAACTCATGAAACACATATCAAACGACGAGGCTATTCAATTGAAGGATAAATTAGACTCTTTGCAGCGTCGCTATGGCGAATTGGCAAATCGTGGTGGTGACTTGTTGAACAGTGCCCAAAATGCCCTTCCGCTGGTTAAACAATTCCACGAAGCTCACAATCGTCTGATTGAATGGATGCAAGTTGCGGAGAGCGCCCTTTCCACAAGTGAACCACGTCAATCTGACGTTTTGCGCCTAGAAGCCGAACTGGTGGAAATGCGTCCCACGCTTGACAGTGTTAATTTAGTTGGACCCAAACTGTGCCAGATTTCACCCGGCGAAGGTGCTTCCACAATTGAAACAATAGTTACACGCGACAACCGTCGCTTCGATGCGATTGTGGAGCAAATTCAGCGCAAAGCAGAACGTCTTCATTTGAGCAATCAACGTGCTAAAGAAGTAACCGGTGATATCGATGAACTTCTGGATTGGTTCCGTGATATGGATGCTAGTTTGCGTGAGGCCGATCCACCAGCCATAGAACCAAAATTGGTGCGTGCCCAATTGCAAGAGCATCGTTCAGTCAACGATGAAATTTCCAGTCAGAAGGGTAGGGTGCGCGACGTAACTGCCGCATCAAAGAAGGTCTTGCGCGAATCTCCACAGAGCGAAAACACAGCTACATTGCGTGAAAAATTGGATGATCTCAAGGAAATCGTTGATACTGTTGCACAACTGTGCAGCGAACGCTTAGGAGTTCTCGAGCAAGCATTGCCTCTTTCCGAACATTTTGCTGACTCACATGCCGGCCTTACCACTTGGTTAGATGATATGGAACAACAAATATCTAGACTGAGCATGCCAGCCCTCCGGCCCGATCAAATAACCCAACAACAGGATAAGAACGAGCGGTTATTGCAATCTATTGCAGAGCACAAACCTTTACTCGATAAGCTGAACAAGACCGGTGAAGCTTTGGGCGCGTTGGTGGCTGATGACGATAGCGCAAGAATTAATGAGATCCTTGACTCAGATAACGCCCGCTATGCTGCCTTGCGCTTAGAGTTGAGAGAGCGCCAGCAAGCTCTTGACAATGCCCTACAAGAATCTAGCCAATTTTCAGATAAACTCGAGGGTATGTTACGGGCCTTGGCCAATACCGTGGATCAAGTCAACCAATTGGATCCATTGTCGGCCCTGCCACAAAAAATACGTGAACAAATCGAAGACAATGATGCTATTATGGATGATTTGGACAAACGTACAGATGCATTCAGTGCCGTTCAACGTGCCGCCAGTGATGTCATTGCCAAGGCCGGCAATAAATCAGATCCTGCTGTGCGGGATATCAAGAGCAAATTGGAGAAACTGAACAACCTTTGGAACGATGTTCAAAAAGCAACTAAGAAACGTGGCAGCTCGCTCGATGATATTCTCAACGTCGCCGAACCATTCTGGAATCAGCTTCAAAGTGTCATGAAAACGCTGAAGGATCTCGAAGAGACCTTGTCCTCACAAGAACCTCCAGCTGCACAACCTCAAGAAATCCAAAAGCAACAAGTAGCTTTGCAAGAAATTCGTCACGAAATCGATCAGACGAAGCCCGAGGTTGAGCAAGTTAGACGTCATGGTAGCAATCTGATGAACCTTTGCGGAGAGCCCGACAAACCGGAAGTCAAGAAGCACATCGAAGACTTAGACAATGCCTGGGATAATATTACCGCTCTGTATGCCAAACGGGAAGAGAATCTCATTGATGCCATGGAGAAGGCCATGGAATTCCATGAAACATTACAAAATCTCTTGAAATTCCTAACAAAGGCCGAGGACAAGTTTGCCCATCTGGGACCAGTGGGTTCAGACATCGACGCCGTGAAGAAACAAATCGAACAGTTGAAGTCATTCAAGGACGATGTGGACCCCCACATGGTGGAAGTAGAAGCATTAAACAGGTATGTTGGTACTCTATAAAATCATTAATGACCGAAATAATTTAATTAACCGTACAATCTATCTTCGATTTCCGATTTATTTGGTATAAATTCTGAATTGGCAGAGGTTTAGAAAGGCAAGAAACATACGTTCAATAAAAATTAATTTTGTTGTTTATTAATTCGTTCGTTATAGTTGTTGTTCTTTTCTGCATGATCACGTTTCTTTGTTTTGCAATTCCAGAATGCTTAGTATCCGTTTTAATCTTTACCACATACATGCAAGTGAAAAAAACTTTCGGCGCTATATCATTAAACATAACAAAAAAAAGTTTAAAGCGTATCGAAAATACTTAAAAATGATCACTGATGTATCGACGCGTAAACCAAGAATTTGAAAACAAAAACAAAAAACGGGCAAATTAAAAACATTTTTTATAATTTTTTCATGTACAACTTCTTATGCTGGCGAAATTATTATTCTCCGAATTGTGGCTCCAAAAAATATATCCAATAAATAGTTGCTATATTTGCTGTTATTCTTATGCATGATTTTCCGCTTTTCTTGTACTTCATTGTTTTTGTGTTTATTTTCTAATAATTGAATATATTTACAGACAAGCTGTTGAATTAACGGAAAGAACTTCTCCTGAACAAGCGGCATCAATTCGCGAACCATTAGCAGTGGTCAATCGTCGATGGGAAGCTCTATTACGTGGCATGGTCGAACGTCAAAAACAACTGGAGCACGCTTTGTTGCATTTGGGTCAATTCCAACATGCCCTCAATGAACTTTTGGTATGGATAAGCAAAACAGATGGTACCTTGGATCAATTGAAGCCCGTAAGTATTGCCGAAGGGGAAATGCGCCGTTCTGTTAGATATAATACATTTTATTTTTATTTTACAACAGATACCTGGCGATCCTCAGCTACTAGAAGTTGAATTGGCAAAATTAAAGGTCTTGGCCAATGATATCCAAGCACATCAAAACTCCGTTGACACATTGAATGATGCAGGTCGTCAATTGATCGAATCCGAAAAGGGTTCGTTGGAAGCTTCAACAACACAGGAAAAACTGAGGAAGCTAAACCAGGAATGGAAAATGTTGTTACAGAAAGCATCGGACAGGCAACACGAATTGGAAGAATCGTTACGTGAGGCTCAAGGCTATATCGCCGAAGTTCAGGATATTCTTGGATGGTTGGGAGATGTAGATGCAATAATTGGAGCTAGTAAACCAGTTGGTGGTTTGCCAGAAACGGCTACCGAACAATTAGAGCGTTTCATGGAGGTATATAATGAACTAGAAGAAAACCGTCCAAAGGTTGAAACTATTCAAGCTCAGGGCCAAGAATACATCAAACGTCAAAATCAAATGAAAGTTTCGTCCAGTAACTTGCAGCATACTTTGCGTACCCTTAAACAACGTTGGGACGCTGTAGTATCGAGAGCTTCAGACAAGAAAATTAAATTGGAAATCGCTCTGAAGGAAGCCACTGAATTCCACGAAACTCTACAGGCCTTTGTTGAATGGTTAAATCAAGCCGAAAAGCAATTGGCCAATGCCCAACCAGTTTCAAGGGTACTAGAAACCATCCAAGCGCAAATGGAAGAACACAAGATACTGCAAAAGGACGTCAGTACACACCGTGAGGCTATGCTACTTCTGGACAAGAAGGGAACTCATCTGAAATACTTCAGTCAGAAACAAGATGTGATCTTGATCAAAAATCTTCTAGTATCAGTACAACATCGCTGGGAGCGCATTGTCAGCAAGGCTGCCGAACGTACTCGTGCCTTAGATCATGGATACAAAGAGGCTCGCGAATTCAATGATGCCTGGAACAATATGATGCAATATTTGCAAGAAACGGAAACCGTGCTCGATCAAATAATCGAAGAAGCCACATCGTCCCAAGATCCTCAGAAGATCAAGAAATGCATTGCTAGGTTAAAGGATACCCACCGTCAGTTGACCGGCAAACAAACCCTGTACGATTCCACAATGCGTAATGGCAAGAATCTCATGGAACGTGCTCCCAAAACGGACGAAGCTGTACTCGGCAAAATGTTATGTGAACTGAAAGATCAATGGACTCGTGTATTGTCGAAGAGCATCGAACGTCAGCGAAAATTAGAAGAGGCCCTGTTATTATCTGGCCAGTTCTCGGATGCCCTAGGTGAACTTTTGGAATGGTTGAAGAAGGCCAAACAACGTCTAAATGAAGATGGTCCCGTTCACGGTGATCTGGAAACTGTTCAAGGTTTGTGCGAACACCATAAACACATTGAACAGGACTTGCAAAAGCGTGCCGCTCAAATGCAAGGCGTGCTTAAGACCGGCCGTGATCTGGAACGTACTAATCCTGAAGTTGGTCGTCAATTGGACGAATTACAAACCGTATGGGATGAAGTGAAAAGTGCTACAGCTAAGCGAGGTGATCGTTTGCAAATAGCCCTTAAAGATGCCGAAAAACTGAATGGCAGCATTCAAGCACTTTTCGATTGGTTAGATCATGCCGAGCACAAATTACGTTACGCCAAGAATGCACCGGACGACGAGAAAATATCCCGTGAAATGATGGATATGCACATTGAATTTATGAAAGATCTCCATGTGCGAGAACAACAGAAACACGAAACATTCGAGTTCGCTGAGGACATTATTGGCAAGGCATATCCCGACGCCATACCTATAATCAAGAACTGGTTGAGTATTATTGAAGAACGCTGGGAAGAAGTTAAACAATGGGCCATTAACCGTGAAGCTAAATTGGAACAACATTTACAATCGCTCAAAGATTTGGATGACACCATTGAAGAACTACTTGCCTGGTTGAGCGGATTAGAGGCAACCTTACTGAGTAAGAAAAAGTGTAGCTTTTTTACAATCACGCAGATATCATGATGTATTGTGTAATTTTTTATAGACCTGGAACGTGAATCACTGCCAGATGAAATCCCCGTATTAGAAAAACTTATTGAAGATCACAAAGAATTCATGGAGAACACTGCTAGACGACAAACCGAAGTTGATCGGGCTTGTAAACCAAAGCAGTTACCACCCGGTGCTCGTAAAATGTCAAGAACTGCCAAAACCCCTGTGTAAGTGGAGACACTGAATATGCGAATGAATCACCCTTTTGTTTGCCCTTTTTCTTTTGTTTTTGTTTATTTTTATTTTATTTTCTATTTTGTTCTTTTTTTTTCGTTCCCCCCTACAATTCAAATCTATATCATAATTTCAAATAAAAAAGTCGTGGCTCAAGTCATGATATACGTGAACAGTCACCCGATGGTACTTTGAGACGACAAAGGTTCGTTCTATTATTTCTGACAAAAAGAAATTACACAACAAAAACTCATTCATAATGCTTGATTCGAAAAAGAAATTTAATCGTCCCTTCAATTCCGCAAACGTTGCTTATCATTAATACATTAATTCATTTACAGCATTTAGCATGAATACATTACAGAAAATTCCCCCGAAATTCCTATCCCTAGTCGACATAAACCTGAAATTCTAAAATACTAAATAATATAACAAAAAAACATTACTACATTACTAGTAAAGTATACTGAAACCTAATAACATCGTTTGGCATGGTGCCTAAACGTGTTTTGTTTTAAAGCGGGTGGAAATTAATTTTAACAAAACTAAAATGTAATAATAGACTCAGAAGTTAAATAGTAGTCTAATAATAGTAATAATCTCAATCATATCAACATAGTTGGAAATCTTATGAAAACATTACAAAAATACATTAATTTGTCATTTATTTTTGCGAACAGATTAATTACCACGTCCACGTTAATCATAACAAACTACTCACATCGTTCTTAGCTTAACCCATTTGCTGCTTTTCCCTCGTTATGTTACGTTCATACATATATACATAGTGTAAACTTATTGCTAATAATTTTTTCTTTTATTTTTAACAGCTTCAAAGGTTCTCGTGATCATGGTCTTAATAATCGTAAATCAAGGTATGTAATGTTAAAAGTAATGTGTGTACATTAATTGCATGTTCGATAGTAACGTCGTTTTAAGCATTTTTTTAAGGAGGCACATGAAACTTGTTTTTCGCCGTCTCGCACATTTTTTTTTCGAAAAATATAAATCATTATTTTTATTTAAACAATAGTAATTTTACGACGTTACTATATTACATTTCATTTTATATTATTTTATATTTTTTCGCAAGAATTTCGTATAGTGTCTTGTGATTTATTTGTTTTGTTTATTTCGCTCTATGTTTGTTTTCTTAAATTTTGCTTCTTTCATTTTTTGTCTTTTATTTGTTCCTTGTATGCTTTTAATTTGTCTGACTGTTTCTGTATGCATTCATTTTTCGTACTGCTCGGCTACCGCTCGCTCATGCTATGTTTTCCAACATACAGTAGTCGCATGACACCAAGTCGTGATACACCTGATAGAGATCGCTTGCCTCACTACGGCCCCCGTTTCTCACCCAGGTAAGTAAGCATGTTGCTAACCATGTTCTTGTCGTAGCCTAAACTTTGTAGTGTTTAGTGTTTGTCCAAACATATCCTATTATTATTACGGTGATTTTATTTTCATGTTATTATTCAAATCTATTTTTCAGTTCTGTGGGTCCTGAACTTGAATTCCGTTCCACCCGAGCCAAATTGTTATGGGACAAATGGCGTCATGTATGGATGCTATCATGGGAACGTCAACGTCGCCTGAATGACCACTTAATGTATTTGAAAGATTTGGAACGAGTTCGCAACTTCAGTTGGGATGACTGGAGAAAGAGAGTTAGTTAAAATATTAACATTTTGTTTGAGTTATTTATTAAATATCACACTTTTTTTAATAACTAGTTCTTGAAGCACATGAATCACAAAAAATCTCGTTTGACGGACTTGTTCCGTAAAATGGACAAAGACAACAATGGTCTAGTACCAAGAGGCGAATTCATCGATGGCATTTTGAGTACCAGTAAGTTTATCAAAAACGCATAATTATTTTGGAATATTTGTCTACTAATCATCAACCATATAGAGAATAGTTGAATTTGTGGACTTCCAGATCTATTATTTTTTCATAAAATTTGAAATGTTTTTGTAATTTAATATTTTCATTTGTACAGAATTCGATACCTCACGCATGGAAATGGGAGCTGTTGCTGATCTATTTGACCGCAATGGCGAGGGCCTGATTGACTGGCAAGAGTTTATCGCAGCTCTCCGTCCCGATTGGCAAGAACGTAAACCACAAACTGATTCTGACAAAATACACGATGAAGTCAAGCGTTTGGTTATGCTATGTACATGTCGCCAAAAATTCCGCGTCTTCCAAGTGGGTGAAGGCAAATACCGTGTATGTTGTGTTTATTTTTGTTGTTTTTAATTTTCTTTCACTAATTCTCAGCACTATTTTTCATCATTCAATGATGGTCACACCATGAAGCGTGACTAATTTAACACGGCCTTTCATTACAACTATTACACAAACCTGTATGTACTTGTTTTAATTCACTTTTATTGTCTTTCAGTTTGGCGACTCTCAAAAATTACGTTTGGTTCGCATCTTACGTAGTACCGTTATGGTACGTGTCGGTGGCGGCTGGGTCGCCTTAGATGAATTCCTGCAGAAGAACGATCCCTGTCGCGGTAAGTTATTCGTGAACACTTATATTTATATTAAACAATTCCAAATGGTGATACGCATATTCATAGAACAAAATTTCATTAAAAAACAAAAAAAAAATACATTATTGCTTCATTATCAATTTTAGCCAAAATGCATTTAAAAATACATTTAACAGTCTAATCTACATTGTCATTATAGTAGTAATCATCATCCGACACCTTCTTTATGATTGTGACGTGATGAAATCTATCATGAGATTGTTCCATTGAACTGATTTGTCTATTTAAAATGCGATGATAAATTTGTTCAAATGGAAGTCATTGTCATAGTTAATATCACCTTTATCACCAGCCACCATCACATATCCATTATTATCATTTATATTAATTTTGTCTAATGTTTCAAAATAATTATTACAAAAATGCGGAAATGGTCATTTAACAAAACATTTTTGAAAACAATTATACAGTTTCAATCCTTGGCCCTAATGAGGAGTAATAAAACATCAATACTAAATGTCAATAAAAAGAAATAAATAAAACAAATGGACCGGGTTTGTCTTCATTAATACACACACTATAGTTATATAACAAAATAAAATACATTCCAACCATTTTCTAATTGGTATCAATGTCGTGATCATTTAATATTCGAATAAAAGCTTTATTTGTTTGTCCTTTTGTTTTTAATAAAACAAATATATTGTCATCAATTGTAGTTTTTACCAGCATTATTAACCCTGTCAAGTGCATGCTACTTTTATGTTTCATACTCATTAAATGTGTCATTTATTATTCATGTATAACCAACCACACACATACACACAAAAATATAGCCGCCGCATCTTTATTTATGTATATTTGTTTCTTTCATTTTAACCAACAACATTTCTGCATTGCTTTAAAAAATATATATACATAATATATAAGTACACTCTCTTATTTAATAAATTGTTATGGATAATGCATCAATCAATTCAGGGACAGTGGTATCTAAAGCAAACAAGAAATTTCTAACACATTTCATAGGAGATGTAACCGAAACAGAGATCTTAAAAAATGCAGATCACATTTGAGAAGAGAGTATACTTTTATATTAACAATATCTGTTGCCTAATATCGCCATAGTAAGATATGTTGTAGTCCCTTATATATTCATTTTATACAATTAATTTACATATTATTTTAATTGTTTTTATTGCAATTATGTTATAAAATAATTTTATAATTTTATTTTCTTTTTGGCTTCTTTTTTTCTTTGTTTATATTTTTTTTCTAAATCCCGTGTTCGTTCCTTGTTTTGCTATCGCAAATATATGAAATGTTGATCCTAAACATTTCTATTACATCTTTAATATGAACTCTGCAATATTTATTGCTGTATTCTATTTTCGAAACTAAAAAACTGCATTTGCCTCTAAACATGCTTTCGTGCATGTTTATAAATATGCCATGATGACTGCTAATGAAATTGAATATCGTTGTTGTTGTTATTTTGTGTTATGTCCCTTTGTCTGACAATGGGTTATTCGTCCGCCAAAAAAAAAAAAATAAAAAACAACCAAAACGAACAAATTGATAATCAAACTGAATACAAAAAATTATGGAAATTCAGCTAAAGGACGTACTAATATTGAATTACGCGAACAATTTATATTGGCCGATGGTGTCTCGCAAAGCATGGCTTCCTTTACGCCTAAACGTGGTAACAATAACAGCAACACGCCGCCCTACATGAGCTCACAAGGTCCCATAATTAAGGTAAATAGTTTTCAAGATGAATAATTCAAGCATAATGACTCTAAGCAAAGTGAATTTCATATGAACCTAATATACACAAAAAAACCAACTCATTTTATTAACACCACCCCAAAATTTTCCTGGTTAGAATGTTAGTACATAAATACATGTGTTGTTCCCATGTGCGTTATGTGTGTGTTGCGTAAGGTAAGTTTTAGAATTTTGAATATAAACATATATACGTATCCCAAGCACTCTAGCTTGCACTCGAATTGCAACAAAGGCTCAATTGTTATTTTTACCAAAGATGCCGTCTGTGTGTGTTCTTCTATTGTTATATTTTATTACTTATACTCGTATCCTGGCAGCATGTGTTTTTTTTTCTTCTTTTAATTTTATCATTTTTTGTAAAGATAAAGCTCTAAAAATTATGTTTTCAAGCGGCTATATCATAAACAAACAAGCTTAAGCAAAAGGTTATCACAGCAAAGCAATTTATGTTTTTGAATGCACTGTACAATGTACACTTTCTTTTGAAGATCACGAATTGTTCTATTTGTTATTTTTATGTTAAATTTCAAAACAAAACTCAGCTATCACTTATCACTGGAAACCCACATCTCAACGACAAGAAATGATGAAAAAAGTCATAAAAAGTTTTCAAAAAGACCCCTACAATCTACAATGGAGTTGTTTTCTTAAATGATCATTACAGCAATTTTTTAAATTCTATATTTATCCATTAAAATGTAAAAAAAGAAATAAAACAACAAAATTTGTATATTTTCTGTGAAATTATTATTACAAACAGCTGATGAACATTTGGCAGAACTTATGCCAATTTTTGAGCGTATTCGTGCACAAGAGCAAGTACCTTGCGCCTTTCCAATACATATGGGCGCCGGTGGCACCGTATTTGTACGTTGCAATAGTAGTCGTTCAGTACCATTAAGTCCACATGTAATGCATTGCCATCCAACAACACATTGGGTAAGTTACTTTTTTTTAGAGAAAAAAAAAAACTATTTCCTGTCTACGAATTCAATGATACATAACCGAAGAAGCATTTTATGCAAACTGAAAGGACATGTCTACATAAAGTCTGAAATATTTGGGGTGTAACCACAGTAGATTCATGAATTCATTATTTAATTCGATTTTTCTCGACTTTAAATGCTCGAATGTTAACCCATCTTTATTTGTCTAGGTACGTGAACGTTCCATACCAATGAACAAACAAACACGTTCATCGTTATCTGCCACAACACCCGACTCCTTGAGTGACAATGAGGGAAGTCATGGAAATGCCTCTGGACGTTATACACCACGCAAGGTAACATATACAAGTACACGTACCGGTCTAACACCAGGTGGCTCACGCGCTGGTTCTAAACCAAATTCAAGACCACTTAGTAGGCAAGGCTCCAAGCCACCATCGCGACATGGTTCAACACTATCCTTGGATAGCACTGGTATGTATAACATTTTGAAGACATTTTGACATCGACATACATTAACCGCTGATCATGTTATAGACGAACACACTCCCTCACGCATTCCACAACGTAAACAGTCTGCAGCCAGTACAATCTCTGGCACTGGCACAACTCCAAGGCCCTCTAGGCTATCGGTGCCATCGACAACTACAACGACTCGAACAAATGGCACAACAACAATAACAAGGAAAACAGCTTCCGGATCTGCCAGTCCCGCACCCACAAGGTATGTTTAGAGTAATCAAAGCTATTTTTTAGAAGAACAACATTAGAATATAAATGCATTTGGCCACGAGTCGGCCAATTCTAACATAAAATAAAGCGCTGAAATTGAAATCCGATTTAAATAAATTATTTCAATTATTATACGTATTTATTTAATATGTTTTTTTTATTATATTTTTTATTTCAAAATTCGATGAACAAACATTTTAATCCAACACATCATGGCATGTTTCCTCTCTATGTTGAAACCAATAACATTTGTATTAAACCAATTTAACAATCAAACATCATCAATCATAAAATTTGATTTGAATTGAATTGCCCTGACCTGACCTGCCTTCCCTTCTCCAACAAACAAACAAAATCACCACCTACACCTGCTACTACACCATAATTTCCTGCAACACATACAAACAACTAAACAAATCATGCGAAACAAATCAATCTTAATTCAAACTATAAACCATTAATCCAAATACAAATTGACAAACCAAAGAAACGGAGGCATGAGTAGATCATCCAGCATACCAGCACTAACAGGCTATGGTTACAAACCTAGGTAAAAATACATTAGTAATACAACAAAAAATATATATATTAATACAACATAGACAAACAAACAAAATATTCATAAGTATGCCTAAGAACTCGCTCTCTCACCATGTCTTCTATTTTAGTTGATTTAGTAGTTGTTCTTTTAAAGTAAACTAATACAATTATGTTTTATGCTTTTAATATTTAGTCGTATAGTAAAAGTAATAATTATTATGTATTCTATAATATATATTTCTCTACATTTCTCTTTATCTTTCCTACAATTTAAGCCATCGTCCATCCAAGATACCGGTCAAAGTATCAAATTCATTTGATAAGTCGTTAAGTGCTAACAGTTCGCCCACAAATTCAACAGTAAACAGTCTAAATCCTAATGTTAGCTTGGGGTAAAGCCAACAACATAATTCCACAACAATAAAAATATTTTTGTTTTGTAGCAACATTCTATATTTTTTCTATAAATATGCTCACACGCTCTAGTTACAAATATGACTATTGGCTGAAATCATTGTTGTAATTTTCCGTTTAAAACCTAAAAGTAATTATTATTTGTTTTATTATTGTTTCCTTTGTGTCTTGTCAAATTGCCCGATATACATGTGTTTTATCGAAATGTCTTGGCTTTCTTTTATTGATTTTGAAATTTGCAATGCTTGCCTTATGAAAAGATTGAATTAAAGCTTATTAAATTCTGATACTCAATTTTTCACCCTTGCTTACATGCGGTAAATTGCAGCTCTAGCAGGCCTATTCTCTTTTTTAGTGTTTAGTGGGAGATTTCTATTTACACCAACTTATCTACAAACTAAAATTGCCGCGTATAAATCTAGGTTTGAATATCAAGTACCATTAAATAATAGGGTGTGTATGCATGCGTTACAGCTTGTAATAATAATATTATAAAATCAAACATGTGATCGGTTTCAGTAGTAATTAGCTAATGCGGTAAAATAAAATAAGAATAGAGACGGGGATTCGATACAAATTTAGTTTCACATCAATGAGTCAAATTATATTGAAAATTTATATCATTTGCAATTGATACAAATACATTTGCGTTTCAATTTTAGTTATTAGGATTGTAATTTGAAGCCATAAAAAATAAAATAAATTTTAGCCTAAATCGCATAATGCAGTACAGGGTCGATTGACATCGAAAAATAATTTATATAGTTTTATTTTTTAGTTTTTCTAATTATTATTATTTTGTCATGTAAGAAATCTTAATCGAATTATTAGCACATATCGAATTTTCATATTTATACGATTGATTTTGTTTATGTAATTACAATATCTAAAAAATTTAAAAAAAAAAATTTAAGTTTCGCTTCAATTTTTCAAATATATGTTAACATATTTAATCTTATATTTTCTTGATTGATTTTATTGTTATAAATGTGTTTTTATATGAGTTATTGCATGTAAGATAAATTATCATTGTAAGATTTTTAAATGACTTTTCTCTTAATGATGAATTTATGGAGCTTAATGATGAATTTATAATTATTGTTATATATTTTTATGCATTATTCTTTATTGTTCGTTGCATGTTTACTCCATTTATATATGTTTGTCTGTTTTCCTATATGTTTATCTTTTATAAAACATATTAATTTATATGTTTTCTTTTTTCTTACCTGTTTTGAAACTCTCAATTTATAGGCGCAATGTCAGTGGCACATCGACACCTTCTGGCATGCAAACACCAAGAAAAAGTTCGGCTGAACCTACATTTAGCTCGACAATGCGTAGCAGAACATCAAGAGGAACAACGCCAGTGGAAAAACGGGAACCATTTAGGCTCTAAATTTGAATTTCTAAATACACAACTATCTATTTCCACACAACTTAATATGTGAAAATTCTAAAAAATCTGCTAACAATTTATAACACAAATATGTTAACTATGAGCACACAATCTCTTTATAAATATTATATATAAAACAAACACACACACCACGGAATTAATCGCCGTACATTGTCTAAAATGTATGCAAAAACAAAAATGACTTCTATGGTGAAACCATTTTCGCCAGATGTTTCCCCAAACATTAATGGTTTCCAAATAGACATTCAAAATAACTAGTTAATAGTTAGACATAAACAAATGAAAACCAATCAACCAACACACAAATTCATAAAAAAAAGACATCAACCTCAATAATTTGTACTACAAAATCCTATTGCTACTTTTTACGGTTTATACAAACGTATATAGACCCATACATATTTACTTTAAACTAAATTTAATTTAACTTTAACTAAAACTTAAACTATGTTCTATTTTTAATTTGCAATCACTACTAAGTTTTGTATTTAATTGAATCTATCTATCACCTACTTTATTTTTGTGTTAAAACTTTTACTTTTTTTGAAAAAAAAATATTTTTGTACATAAACAACAACTATTATAGATCAACACTCCAAGTGCTTTAAGTCAAAAATTTTGCGAAATGAAAACCATAAACAACCAAAACAAAAACATAATAATCGAATTAAAGGTATTCTCTATGTTGTAGCAAAATCTGATATGATTTTATTTGAAATCGCCAGTTCAAATAAGGCCATATCAGATTTGATTCTCTGCTCGAGTGTGCCGAAAAAAAAACAAAAATTCTCCAAATAAGTATGAATAGAAAATATAATGTTTTTGTTTAATTTTCCGTTAAGATACCAATTAATTTTATTTAATAATACTATCATTAATTAATAATTTAAAGAAAAACAAAACAATTTACTAAAAGTCATTATTGTAAGTTTAATATTATTAATACTATTTAAGAAATAACAACTTATTTTTTTGTTTTTTTATGTAATAATATATTTAAATTAAATATTTGTAAATTACTAATACTAAATTATTATGTTGTCGATTAAAAAAATGAATAATTGATTTTTTATTTTTTATAAATCACAAAATTTGAAATAAAAAATGAATAACCAACAATTTGCTGATATCTTTTCTTTTTAAATTTGGTAATAATTCAAAATAGATTTGGTTTGGCGACGATTTCACAAGAATATGTATCTTATATATAAATTTGGTGTACAAAATAACTTATAAATTAAGAACGACTGGACCAGTTGTAATTATTATATGTAATTGCAATAGGGAGTTTTTTACGAAAGAAAATTTTGAGAATTTTGCTATTGGATTTTGATTAGAACTGCCCCAAATTAAAAAAAAAACACAGAGTTTGCGTAAATTTTTTTAATTGAGGTATAAAAAAACATAATTCTTAAAGTTGGTATTCGCAAACTATTTTCATTGCAGTTGATTTTATTGTATTTTTTATTTTAGAGTATTGAGAGCCTAATCAAAGGCCATACAAAACGGTTAAACGTAGATTAATGAAATGTAGCATGTGGTGGTCACTGTACCCGAGATGATTGTTTGTCCGTAGCTATGATAACCATTGGAATGCGAGATATAAAATACTCTTGCGTATAAAGGCTTACAATCCAAACGCTTTCAAAATAGATTTTTCCGCCAAATACAATCGAAATCGATTATAACAACCGTTAAGGGAAGACTTAAATATTGGTCACTACAATTGATAGTCGGGCTGTTATTATATTAAGGGCCCCATACACTATAAATCATGCCGTCATGCCGATGAACCCCTTTTTGTATATGTGAGATTGACTAGTGTATGGCAAACTCTTCAATCACTATTCCAAAAAATCGATTTTTGTCCCAAAAATTGCATTTTGAGTCGTAAATTCAGTTGTTTTTTATTCCGTCACAATTTTATTATTTTTGTACACAACATTATTTACTGACAACTTTCAAAATGAATATTATTCACCAGATTGATAGGGGTTCATTTTCAAAATCAAAACTATTTTGATTTTCTTCATGCATTGTGTGTGTCACACCATGGTATAATAATAAAAGGTAACAGCAAGTGTTGTTGTACAAAAAACGATACAACAACCACATGGAAATTTGTTGTTGTAAGTTCTACTAGTGTCAACTCATTTGACAGAAAAATGTAAACAAACAAACAAATTATCATCAAATTATTTTTATTTTGAAAATGGAATATTTTCGAATCCTCAAAATAAAAATTGAAAAACATGAATGAAAATCTATCAAATTTATATTTCTATCGCTTCCACATCTTTCCTTTAATTGAGCCATTGCCATATATGTGTGTAACACATATGACAATGCTGGGAATAGCGAGTAATTCCTTCAAGAAAGATTTGCTTCCTCAAACTTTCCCAGCAGGCAGATTGAGTAAATTGAATACGGGAGCACATTAATAAAGAACAATTTCAAATAGTATGCGTTCCCAATTTTCCTGTTGGGTGATTTTTAAAAACATAATTTGTCAAATTTATATTGACACTAGTATTACGTTGGAATCAAATCAGCTGGGATTTGCTGTTACCTTTTATAATTGTACCATGGTGTCACACATACATAAATAAACTTTCAAAAAATAACACATACTATTATAAATGCTGTACGACATGATGTATAGTGTATGGGACCCTTTAAAGGTCTATCAATAAATGAAAATTTATTTTATAATTTTCTGTATAACATGACAATTAAGTGCCCCATACACTATACATCATGCCGTACAGCATTTATCATAGTATGTGTTATTTTTTGAAAGTTTATTTATGTATGTGTGACACACACAATGCATGAAGAAAATCAAAATAGTTTTAATTTTGAAAATGAACCCCTATCAATCTGGTGAATAATATTAATTTTGAAAGTTGTCAATAAATAATTTTGTGTACAAAATTAATAAAATTGTGAAGGGATAAAACAACAACTGAATTTACGACTCAAAATGCAAAAATCGATTTTTTGGAATAGTGATTGAAGAGTTTGCCATACACTAGTCAATCTCACATATACAAAAAGGGGTTCATCGGCATGTCGGCATGATTTATAGTGTATGGGGCCCTTTACACAAAACTATGTTAACTAGATATTTTGCAAATATAATATGCAAAGTAGTAGTATTAGGTAGTTCATTCTTTGTTTTCAACACCCCCACTAGATTGAACTCCTAATCCCATCAGTTCGCAGCAATACTGGTGTTTCAATCTTGATAAAGGCTTTGTAAAAATATCGGCGATCATCTCGTTTTCTTTAGGTATTCGATACATAATTTCTTATCTTCAACCAATTCCCTGATAAAATGGTGTCATATATTAATATGTTTTGATCGTGCATGGTATGTGTTGTTATGTCTCAAACTTATTGGCTCGGCTTCAGTAGTAGACAATGCCGTTGTTGATATTTCTTCGAGTTTCATGAAATGCAGCCATTTTGAAATTTGAAAATATACCCAGAAGTAGATTTTCTATCATCAAGGTCACCTGCCCAGTCAGCATCAGAAAAACATTCTATAAATTCGGTGTCATCCGTTTGACACCCGTTTGACAGCTTCCCACTGTGGTTTTCCATGTTCATTGTTATACTTTGACAGAACCCCCACTGCATATGATATATTGGGGCGACTGACCTGAGCAGCATAAGATAAACTTCCAACAGCTTCTTGATAAGGTAATTTATGGTCCATTTTCGAAGATGCCATATATTTTGTCAATTTTTTATTGACATCTAATGGTGTAAAAACAGAATTAAAATTTTGCATATTAAATCTTTTCAATACACCTTTAATGTATAATTCCTGGTCCAACCACAATTTTTTGACAAACAATCCTTAATATGTTTTTTGAATTCAAGATTATTTGAAAAAATCAATATGTCATCCACATATATAGCGACATATGTTATTTCTGTTCCGTTCAATTTGTAATATACACAGGGTTCTGTTTTAGATTGTGTTAGCCCATTTTTTTTTAAGTTTCATCTAATTTATTATTCCACATCCGGCTGGCTTGTTTAAGGCCATATAACGACTTCTGGAATTTTCATATATATTTCCTCTCTCAATTCACTCTGTAGGAAAGCTGTTACTACATCCATTTGGTCTATGTCAAGATTATGCTGAACTGCCAAGCTTAAAATTGGACGTATTGAGGAATACATCACCACCGGAGAGAAAGTTTCTTCGTAGTCTATTCCATATTATTGAGAGTATCCCTTCACAACAACGAGACACTAGGTCTATATTGCCACTTTCACGGGTATTGATGTATATTTTTTTGTGAATATTGTAAATTTGGTCTTTTTCACGGGTAAAATTGTAGTTATGATTTTTTTTTTTTTTAATTTTTAGATTTTGATGTCTGCATCTTTGTAATATTTCCATAAAGCGAAGTAAGCTTTGACGTTGTTCGATTTTAATATGATGTCGATTGATGTTTGGTGTATGTCAAGATTTTGTAGTTTTTGCAATAAGAAAAGACGTGTGTTGATGTTGATATTCGGGCATTTGAACGTAATATGATCCATAGTTTGGACGTCGCCGCAGTCACATCTGTCGGAGCTGGAGATATTTATTTTATGGAGGTGATGTTTTGTTTGGTTATGGCCAAATCTGAGTCTTGTGATGGTTGTTGCAACACTCCGGGGTATTTTAACGTACCGGAACCAGGGCTGACAGTTAACTTTAGGCGAGAAAGAGTAAAATCTTCTGCCAAAGATGCTGGTGTTCCATTTTTGTTGCCATGATGCAAGAGCTGTGGATCTGTCTTTTTGTTTTATGTCTGATGGAAATAGTGCCGGATATGAATCGACGGGGATATGGCTGGTGGCAATGGAGTCCACATACTCATTTCCCTCGATGCCACAATGACTTGGCACCCAGAGAAAGTGTATTGTAAAGGCCTCTCTGGACATAAGATACACCTCATAAATAGAAGGATGGGTGTT